CAAACATGTCTCGTTAGATAAATTAAAACTGAATAGTGAGTTCGATCCTCACTGGGTTCCCCATATTTTCGACCTTGTGCCACATCTAAGCTAAGCTTAGATAATCAGTAAGCGAGAGCTCGATCAATTACGAACTGGAGGTTTTGAGGAGCAAATAGTTAATCCCCAAACTGAGATCAAAACACTATGAAAATGTAAAAATAGGTTTTAATCCCAGAAATACTTTTTAAAAAATTATTACCAGCAATAAATTTTTGAAGAAAAATTATGACAAGCAATACATTTTTGAAAACAATAGGACTGAGGATTGAGTTTGATCCTCACTGAGTATTTCATACTGTCGCAGTTTAAATTACAAGCAATAAAAATCTTGTCGGTATTAAATATCTCATTCGGATTAATATGCTGTAAAACAAATCAAACCAAACCACAGATTCTTGATTGGATTTAAATCAGGAGAGTTTCCGAGCCAGCCTATAGTACTTTGATTTGCTCACTGGTAAGGCTTGCCAGTGTGTTCGTGCAGCATTACAATTTTCGTACGCTTCCTTGGAGTAACGTCCATCGCAGACAATGGCCGTAGGACAACTAATCGACCCGCGGAACAACAGTGTCTGGGCGTGATAAAAATCTGATTGTTGTGATGCCAACGAATAATCGTTGTCACTTTCGTAATGCACATTGTAGTAGAGACTTTGTAATCGCAGATACAACTATAATAGGCCGGTGAACAATACTAGTGTCAGATGCTTTCGAATATCACTCGCACTAATAGTACTTGCTCGATAATAGTCGCTTGAATAGTAACCACCGAGTAATAATCCGTGTAGAGAAATAGTGATTTTCCTAGCGTAGCTCAGATGTGGCACAAGGCCGAAAGTATGAGGCACCCAGTGTAGAGAAATAGTATAGTGAATAGAGTAGAGAATATCGGTCCGTATAGTATTAGAGGATAGAGTAGGAATAGTGATCCGAATAGTAATAGAGGATAGAATAGAAATGCGACTCACTGCCTCCCATATATGCGTTTCCTCTATGGTCACGTGATTTACTTAATTCAATAAAGGGATCACCTGTGTTTGTTCACTGGCGATCTACGTTCAAACTCAAATGGCGTCAGCGATACTTTATTCCTATATAACACTGATCCAATCACGGCCAAACAAATTTCATCATACACCCCGAAAATAGATAAATATTAACACACACCACTGCAGATGACCTAACTTGAGGAAAAAATAGAAATCGATTACACCCTGTCCCGCCAGTGGGCCTAAAACTGACCGTATAGTGAAAGAAAAGAAACTAAAGCGGTTGTTTCAATTAATTTGTACAAGGGTGTACACTGCATAAAAAAAAACAAAAAAAAAAAAACAGGGCGTCTGTTTCAAAGACGAGTATCCACTAAAAATAACGTTTGAAGTAATAAAAATATGTGATTAAAAATAAATCCATTAACTCTTTAGAAATTGCTTTCTCAACGTTTCGGATACGAAATGGAGCAGATATGGTCATTCGAGAAAATTTGAACGATGGGGTGTGCATTCCTTAAAAGACAAAATATAATATTGTTGGTCTATGATGCTCTCTGTGGCTGAGTCGTTTAAAGCACGACGGATCAAACTAGTTTCTCCTATAAAAGGGGACGGAGGTTCGGACCCTGCTGAAGAGGACATTTTCTTTAAAATTTTATTGAATGTAGACGTAAAAAACTGTCTTTAAAATAAAATTAAAACACAAATACAAAAGACTAGGCATCTATTTTAAACACGGGTAATCACTAAAAATAACGTAATATCTGTGTAAATTTTAAAAAGTATTATAGTATTATTTTGATTTGTAATTCCAATTTCATCATTTTGCAGGCCAATAATTTTGGCAATTCTTGTTAAAATAACCTCAAATTTTCACAGACTGTATAGAAACAGATCAAGATTTTATATTTAACGGAAGAGGACAGTATGTGTTTATCTCAATGAGAATCTGTCAGAGAGATGGATCAGGCGTGGTGGAGATGAAGACAGTTTTCCGATGAAATGGCCGCCGCGGTCACCGGACCTGTCCTCGTGTGATTTCATTTTATGGGGATATGCGAAGGAAATGGACTTTGTCCCTCCCCTTCCTGCTAGCATTGATGAACTCAAGCAGAGAATCACCCTCCCACCTTTGGATAATGTTATCGGAGACATGCTACAGCATGTTTGGCAAGAGCTCAAGTATCGACTTGACGTGTGCCGTGACATAGGCGGTGCACATATTGAACACTTGTGGAATCGGTTCCATAATAAACTTATGATGTTCAACACCCAAACTGTTCAATTTCATTGAGATAGACTTTGTAGTTTACACGATAATTGCTTTTAAAATGATGTCAATTTTTGGGGACACCCTGTATTTTATTCTAGGGTCATCAGGGGACTAGTATGTCTATCAGAAGCATGTAGCGTTATTAAATGTATTACGTTTTGATAGTTGCGTATGGCAAAGTTGTTAGAATGGCAGTGTTCATTCTGTGAGACCAAGGTTCACATCTCCTCACCAGGGTCGATTTCTCAAGGAGATAAATTCTTGAGACACTCCCAACGTGCGTGAATGTTGAAGAAACCACACCAACTTGTGTGTGAAAATGGGTAGGCGAAACTGTACGTGAGCTTCGAGGGTTGTGTTAGCTCGAAGTCACAAGTCATCGTCACCGAGGCAATGAATGTATTGATTGTGTTGATTCGCTCTCTCACAGAAATTGTAACTAACATCTGCTAGGTATAGTTGCAGTATAAAGAAACGCAAATGTGTCCCACCCGCACTAGTCGTGCATATCCGAAAATGAAGAACTCTGTTCGGAAAGGACAGGATTTTACAAGTCAATGATTATAAGCAATTATTTTTGTTTAAAAACTTAACGTAGATTCATTAAACAAACCAGGTAACATATCCAGAACAAAAATATTTCGTATGCACTAGTTACAAAATACTAAATAAGTAACAATAGATATTATTCCAGTTTTGACCGTAAGGACTGAAAACGCATGAAGAAACACCTAGAAACTACTATATATATATATATATATATATATATATATATAATCTAAAATAATCCTAAGGAGCCAGACAGACCTACCAAGGTTTCACCTAAACGGATCTTCAAGGTAAAACTGGCTAAAAAGGTAAATAATGGAAAAATATTTATTGATAAAACCAAATAAAACCATGACCACGCGACAACCCCCCCCAAAAAAACCCCCAAAAAACACAAAAAAAACCCTACAACATGTTACTCTAATAACCAGCTTTTATTATGTCGGCACCTACTAAGAATTTCCTATTTTGGTTTAATAAATTTTGGAGTTCTTTCTGGGTAGCAATAGCTAGCTTTTCCTCCATGCATAGGGAACAAAATTTATCGCCTGCCTTATATTTATAACAATATATATATATATATATATATATATATATATATGATAAAATTCTTGTTGAGAGTCCCGATGTATGATTAAAAAATTGAATTGGCCTTCGATAAGTATTGAATTGACTGACATTGTTTTCTCTTTGGTTTTCTAACGGTTATTATAAGAATAAAAATCTAGACTCCTTGGACGGATTTTGAAACATGTCACCAAGCAGAGTTCTAAGGTGAGATCAAGGTATTAGTTTGAGATGAAAAAAAGGAAAGCATATTTAGAATTTAGAATTAAGTGGGAAACTAATCAAGCCTTTTGTTTGAATTGCTTAATAAAAAGCATCGCGTTGGAGATTTCAGGGATTCGGAAGCATTCATCTCCATTCGGCTTCCAAACTTTTGAGGCTAGAACATCGTTTCGAAGGAATACACTGCTAGGACGCATGTCGTAGAGAGTTAGAGATTTTCGCCTCTCATTCCTTTTAAGGTCTAGGAAGAAATCAAAAAAGTAGAAAAGTCTTCGTTCGCCTCGGCCATAGGAAGAAAAAGAAAAAAAAAAAAGGAAAAAAGCAAAGGGACTCCTCGTAGCGTCATAACTGGACACACGGAAAGAAGAGATAAAAACAGAAACATAAAAAGTATAAGAGACAGAAGTCACACAATAGTAGAAAAAAGAAAAAGAAAAAAGAAATTAGTAAAAACAGAAATGAAGAAATTTGCCAAAAGGGAAGTAACTTCGTAAAAGAAACAAAACAGTATTGATAAAAAAAAAAAAAAAATTGGATACACATAACCCTGGCGCGGGTGGTACGTTGGCCCGCAAACAAATATTGAATGACGAAAGACAACAACAAAGAAAACGAAGACTTGAATAAATAAATATATTGCCAAGTTTATTTTTGTTAAAGAAAATACATCAACAAAAATAAAGTTACAGGCAAAAATATTCATACAGAGGGTGAGAAGAGCGTTGCCCTGAGAAGGACAGTTTTTTTTTAGTTGCTGAAGAGCTTTGTTCTGAAAAGGACAGTTTCTATGTAGTCGCTGAAGAGCTTTGGTCTGAAAAGAACAGTTTTCGTAGTAGCTGACGAGTGTTGTCCTGAAAAGAAAAGTTTTTGAAGTCGTTGAAGAGCATTGTTCTGAAAAAGACAGTTGCATATCACTATTGCAGGCGAGGATGGCCGGAACTTGAGTTGTCTAGAGAGGCGGTAGCTGGAGGCCTACTGGAGATAGCTGGAGCCATGGCCGATGGCGAGCTGGAGATGATGATGGCTGGCAGGTTAACTGGAACTGCTACTGATGGCCGGAGTAGTTGGCTGGCAGTTGGCTGGCAGTTGGCTGCTGGAACAGAAACTTTGATCGTAGTTATCTGGGCCGCATAAGAATGATTGTATTTTTTGCTACCGAATGTGACACAAGGTCGAAGTTTAGAGTGGGTTTTGCGGCAATACCGTAGAAAAATTGCCTGGATCAGTTTTACAACAATCGCTGATTATGCTTTTTTCTTTCGGTTGTTTTTAAAAAATGTAGGCGTGCCAACAGGATGGTCCCTCTTTGACGTCAAGAATGATATCATCTTCCGCTATTCCTACCCGCGGAAAACTGCGATCATACGTGCCATGTTTCTTTCTTACACCGGTTCTCCTAGGATCACCGAAGTTAAGCAACGTTAAGCCTGGTCAGTACCTAGATGGGTGATCACTTTAAAATACCAGGTGCTGCAAGCTTGGGCGTGCGTATGGTGTAATCGTCAACGGCTCTGAAATGGAAATCGTAGAAATCGAGTTCAAGTTCCGGTTGGGTCCTTTATATTCACATCCGCGCAAATACCCTTGAGAAAGGTATAAATCCAGATATTCTCCCCCGGCTATGGGTTAATTAGTAGAACTTGTATCAGCAATTCCTTATTATCTCAAAAAAAATTATTACAATATAAAAAAAAATATTTCCCGGCTTTAAATAACTTGAAAAAGGCTGATAAGCCGTAAAAACAAATCAATCTCTTTTTTAGAATTTCACTCAATCCGTGGACTGGCGTTACAGAATCACAAACAAAGAATTGTACCAAGCAACAAAAATCACATCACTTGAGGACTTTCAACAGCAGCAACAACTAAAATGCGTGGCATATGTAACTTGATGAGAGAATAATATAATTAAGATGCTAACGTTACACACAAGCTCAAACCAAATGAAAGAACCGGCCATCAATATTGGAAAGATCAATAACAGATACTGGACTTGAAAAACCCATTTTTTCAAGAAATGTTTTAAAAGATTGATTTTATTAATTTTAACCAACAGCAGCACTGACTGCACGGTCAGTGAATCTCGAATGTTTCCTTATAAGGAAATGGCTAATATTACCATCATCATTGGTAGCTTTTCAGATCAATTAGTCAGGCAGCTAGGGTGATTGATTATTTTTATCGAGACACCATTTCTGGATAGATTGTCAGTGGAGGCTACTGAGCATCTATTTGACCGTTGGTTGATGACAAGTGACTAAATATTGGCACAACCACTGATGACTTCCGAACATTTGCTTCTAACCAATTTCACTTAAAATGTTTGGGTGTGGCTTTGAGGCACTTTTCACGGTCCTGCATGCTGCGATTATCATCCTATTATGATTGTGCTTGTCCCTCTCTTTGTTGGTTAGGACCGCAATACGTTCAGGCAATATGTCATAAACAATGGATTATTCTGAATTTTGATTGCGTGTAAAGGGGGAAAAGACTACTTGGTTACAGTAAGAACAGATACTACACTTTGATCTCTGTCAAAAAGGCGAGAAATATTGGTGACCGCAATAAAAGCGTCATTTTTCAGACGCACAGTATCGAACGAAGTAAACTGAGTAGCCAATCGGCAAAAATCCATTTACCAAAAATTAAATGTCATAGCATCATCTAGTGTATTATTTTAAAATTATTATTAAGACAAATGTTCGTAAGACATGAATTTGCATAGAAAGAAAGAAAGAAAGAAAGAAAGAAAGAAAGAAAGAAAGAAAGAAAGAAAGAAAGTGTATATAAAAATGAAATGGAAAAGACACGACTTGATATCAGTGAGAAAAGGAAAGAAAGAGAGAAGGGAAGATAGAAGTGCTTAAAGGCTGTTTCGATGAAGTGGAAAAAGTTCTCAATTTCAAATCTTTTTATTTCTACCTACTTTTTAAAATAAGCATCAGAATTCATATTTATGTTGATTTTCTAAGAATACTTTACACGTGGCACAAATCCGGGATCTTTTCTGTTAATTCACACCAAATTATGTAAAGTTACTTATCGCAAATATTAATTCACATCAAGAAATTATGATTTTTAAATCAAAGATTGATTGTTTTTTATTAAAATTTTCGTCATTAATTTGCAAATATAAATTTTTAATCAAAATTTGTATAGCTTGCCTTGAAGTCGCTAGAGTTAACAGCCTTTACATTATTGGACACAATCCGATGCTGTATTTAACCAAGGATTACAATTATGACGGATTGTTGGAAAGGATATACACCTTCGAAGGATGATCCCAATTATATTAATCTGACTGTTAATCTCAGTATGAATTTGGTTGACCCAGAACAGCCTCCATATTATTGGAGACAATCCGAAACTGTATTTTACCTGGGATTACGATTATGATGCATTATTGGAAAGGATATACACCTTTGAAGGATGATCCCAATTATATTCATCTGACTGTAAGTCACAGTACGAATTTGGTTGACCCAGAAACATCAGTTCACAGGCAAACAATCGAAAGTAACTGGAGGAGCGCCAAAATGAAGAATAATTCCATGTTCGGAACTCATCACAGCATGATTTCTATGAGTTCTTTTGGAGACGTAAGGCAAAAAATAACAATGAATGCATTTTTGAACAAATTTTAAAGGACATTTCTGAATTATTGATGTGAATTTTAGTAAATATAATTTTTTCTTATTTTAGGGTGAATTAACAGAAAAGATCCCAATACCGAAAATATATCGGGTACCCAGCGAGTATCCCCTGAGACCGTCTTTATGATCGCTATTGTAATATTTTGTTACAGTTGTTAGGATCACATATTTAACGAAATAATTATTTCTACGGATATTTTATTGTTGTAGAACTCGCCATGAGCTTATACAATCACTAACTTAAGTTAAGAATTAAGATTGATCAGAAAATGGATCTCATAGTTTGGAATATAGCGCTCTAATCACTCGGCAGCGAACTCAAGACCTTGAGAAAATCTTTCTAGCGCCAACATTTCTAGATCCGCTGTTATTTTCGTATTTGTTAAGGCACATAAAAAAAAAACGTCCTTGTCTCTCCCGCTTGCTATTCAGAATCGAGAAATTTATTTTCCTGACACTAAAAGATTTTTACTCGGGAGGCAATGGTCCCTTTGATTATTTCATCCGGTCTAAAGTTAAGTTTCATTTTTTTTTTTTTTTTTTTTATCTTCAAGGTCTTTATTATAACAAAAAAAAAAGAAAGAAAGAAAAAAAAAAGAAGACAAAAACAAAACAAAAAAAAGAGAAAAAGCCAGCATCTCGTCTTCAGTCACTTTCGCACCGCCATAATGTAGTTTTCCTCTGAGTTTTCTATAAATATATTCATGTTAATTGGTCTGATGAGCTTTCCTCTTTGTTAACTCGACTTAATGAATTTAAGCGTAGTTCTACATTGGTAGTTACGTCTCAACATTTTACTGTTGAAATGTAAGTATAACCGTAAATTCTATTATAATAGTTTCTTCACTCGCACTTCTTGCCTGTAGAACACCAGATTCTTGCAAGTACGATCTTCAAAAATTTAAATGCAACGTCAATCGTCATCTTCCTTCACCTTGAATCCTGTTCTTTTCATTGTCCTCTCTTTTCAGTAAAGTTTTCTCAGTTTCCTTCACCTCCTTTCTGTTTTTTTATTGCTTGATTCATTTTCTACTGTTTATCAACCCCTTGGAGGTTATTTAAAATCTTTTTTGAGATAATAATTATTTAGTGATACCAGTCTTACTAATTAACCCATATCTGGGGGAGAAGAGATGAGTTCATATCTTTCCCAAGGGTGTAAGTGAATATAATGAACTCGACTTAAATTAGAACTCGGTTATCCGATTAACAATAACAAATCATTATCCATTACATCACCCACACACCAAAGCTTACAGCTCCTGGTATTCCCAAGCTACTGACCTGGATGGATGTTGCTTAACTTCGGTGAACCAATTTTTCAACATGATGTGACCATAAGTCCCCCACACCTTGCTTGGGGTGAAACGATTAAAAAAATATGTCAACATTTTTCTTTAACATTCATCATCATCACCATCATCATGGTCAACAGAATATTTGTGACGCTAAAACAGACAGTGAAGAAGTCATTTCATTAGGCGGCGGCGTCATCAACACTAAATTTGTGACATTAAAACAGTCATGGAAGAGGTCATTATATCATCATCATCATCATCGTCAACACCAAATTTGTGATGTTAAAACGTCATTCCAGCATCATTATCATCATCAAGATCATTTGTAAACATTTATGCCGATGATACGACTATATACGGGCGCACCTCTAAATCTCTTGTTGGTTAGAGACTGGCAGCTGATCTCTCTTCCGACAAACAACCAAGTGTGGAAAAAACTGGTTGATTACATTTAATGCCTCGAAGACCAAGCTAGTTACATTCCATTATCGCCGATCGGACCCCAAAATGCCCCCCCCAATCAGGATGTCCCCTCGGCGAGGCATCGTGCCTTGAAAGGCTACTGAGCCTCAAACTCTCACCTAACCTCAAGTGGAATCCGTACATACGATCCATTGCTAAGGATGTAGGTAAAATGGTAAAATGGTCGTTTACCTGTACTAATCCAGTAAGTAGCTGACTCCACCTGCTATCCTCTACTTTTCAAGTGGACGAAAATGAAGTACTGGTGTCATATTTAGTCGAGAGCTGCCCAGACCTCGCTCTCCAGCCCTGATAGAGTCAAAAAGCATCTCTGAGTCCTTGTGGGTGACTAATTATTCCCCACTCTCTCCAACCTCTCTCCTACAGGCAGGATGAGGCAAGCCTCTCGGTGCTTCCACGGAAAGGTGCTCGGACTGCATCCCCTGGTTTTACCTAGTCTGACCTTCACGGCTAGGATCCGACATGCCACTTATATAGTAGCAAACTACCTATATTCTCTCCGTATTTCATCGTTGAGAAGGAAGTTCCACTCGAACAGCTTCTTCCCAAGAGGACGTCTCCCCGATCATTACAATGTTAGTTAACCTGTTCAAGGATGGGGTTAACCTTCATCTTCCATTCCTATCCGCACAAATTCAACCCCGGACCTTGTAAAGGGTGAACCTTACTGTAAATAAAAAAACGAAAAAACGAACACTAAAGTCATTTCACTACCATCAGGATCAGGATCAGGATCATGATCATGATCATGATCTTCTTCTTCTTCTTCTTCTTCTTCTTCTTCTTCTTCTTCTTCTTCTTCTTCTTCTTCTTCTTCTGAGGCGATGATATGAAAGAAATATATATAAGCATTGGAGATTGTATCACCAAAGGACGCACTTGACAACAAAACCTCAAGGCTAACAATTCTCTTTTATCCATTATTTATTGATAGAATGTCCTCGGTAACTCATCACTGCTGACAGCAAATTAACTAAAAAACATTAAAGAAATAAATTGAATATTAAGAATGTTTTCTTTCCTTGGCAATTCAATCGCATTTT